GGCGTTGTAGGCGGGTGTGGGAAGCGTTCCCCGTTCTCCTTTTATTTTATTTTGATCGGTCTCCTCGACGCTCTTTCTCGTTTGGTGCGGTAGCTGGTCTTTCTTTCTATCATTTTGTTTCTCTTCCGAGTGGTTTTTGTACCCTATTTTTTTTCTGTTTCTTCGTGGGGTCGTGTATGCCGGGTTTTTAGACCACGGGCTCCCAATCTTTCTTTTTTAGAGCTAATGCGAGAAACAACAACAACAACAACAACAACAACATCGCTCTGTTCCTCGATCTCCCCTTCTTCATCATTCTGTACGCCAACAACACCAGATGCCAGCTCACCCTCTGCCTCCGAGCCACCGCGGGATAACACACCATTTTGTTCCTCGGTCTCCATCCAATCGTCACCCTCTACTCCTACAACACTAGATGACTTACGCGGGACACCGAGCTCGCCCTCTATCATTCCATCTGCGCTGAACTCCCCTCTCTCGCTTTCGGGGGAGGCAGGTCGGTCATCCCTAGTGGATTTCTGGAAGTTGTCGGGTCGAGGTTCTCCCCGCTCGCGAGGCTCCCCTATGTCGGCGTGCTTGGAGCCACCCCATGGGGGGCAAACGCCCCCTTCGCCCCCAGTTACGGCAACATAGTTTTCCTTGAAGTGCATCCCCACCGACGCCAAAAGCTGAAGAGGTCTCGACAGATTCGTTTGGCGCCTCGTGCTTCCAAGCTCTTTGGGCTCTACCGATCCTAGAAATTGCTGAATTGCACCTAGTCGCCAGCCAACCATTTTCTCGACGCCACCGTGTCTTAGCCAACAACCGGCCGGTTCTATACGGTTCAACCCTCTCTGAACTTCGACTATCGTCAACGGTCGGTTATCCGTTGTAGATGCGTCCATCATGTGGGTCTGGACAAAGAATGCGAACGCGCGCGACGCGGCGGGTAAGCACAAGCAGTGTGGCCTGGAAAAGCAAGCCCGCCATACATATACATACTGCTGTAAATATATTGCAATAAATTATCAAGCTGGCACCACCAAACCTCCGCTTTTCACGCCTCGGTATCGTTTATTGCTCCTGTAACACCACTAGGTCGAAACGCGGGCGATGAGCCGTCCTGGACCCCACGCAGGTGGTGTCCTGCCTTATCTGTCCCGACGGTAATCACGCCGGGAAATTTCCAGTCTAAATCCCTATTAATAGGCGTATTTGCTGCTGTAAATTCCGCTTAAATGGAAAACGCTGTTTCTCCGCCGTTTATGATCAGACTCCGGTTTTGGGACATTAATACGAAAGCTATGGGTCAGGGCCATCTTTTGGAAGCGTAAAAACAAAATGCACAGTACTTGCTCTGTCTAAAAACGCCTATATGTGCAGAAAAACGCACACATTTGGGAGCCAGTACAGTCTCTCCGCCTCCCCCCCTCCTCCCCTCCCCGGGGGAGGCCGAGGCCCGCAAGTGCAGTTA